GGGAGAGGGAGAGGGAGAGGGAGGGAATGTAAGAGAGGGACTGTGAGAGAGCACGAGCCAGAGATGCAGAGCGCGGAGAGACTTCGGAGGATGGTGCTGGGGGCTGCTGGGGGCCCGCCTGCTGGCCTTGGCTTCGGGGCTTCCCCTCGCGACCTGCATCTGGGAAATTGGGGCGTGTAGGCTTTAACAATAATATTCGTCAGTGGCCCAGGATGAAACCTAGCTGACAATCTGAAGTATAAAAATGTCATACCCAAATCATAGGAAGAAGAGCAAATCCTGTGTTCGTCGTATTCGCCCTACTCCACCTCCTCGTTTCCATAGCGGCCAGCATCAGAACAGTAGTTAATCCCAAGGCCTAGCGTAGTTTGTAGGCTTGAATCTGAGGGTCCTTGGGAGTTATAGGTGGTCCAACTGCAAATTCGGTTAGCAGGGTTTGTTTCCATGTGTTGGTCTTCATGTTCCGTACTTGTGTGGCTGGTTGTGAAAACTCGGAAATCCCAACCCGAAGTGCCGCTCTCGAGCGACAAGCTCTTCAGTTTGAAGAAAAGACGTAACTTGCAAAGCTTAAACCTTAAACCCTTTGGGGTTTAGGGTTTAGGGCTGATAGATGCCCCGGACCAAAGGCTAAAGGGCGCGAGGGGAAGGATGAAAGGCCATGGCAGCGGGCAATGTCTACGACTGGAACAAGGCGGCGAAGGTTGCGGTTTCGTTCAGGGTTCGCATATGGCTTAGGCAGGTGGCATGCTGGGCTTACCCATGTTGTTGTCCCTCTCTCTCTCTCTCTGCTTGCTGGACCATGGGCTCTTGCAGAAACCATCGTTGACAATTTTCCTTGTTACCAAGAGTCTCCATCCATTGCCTGCCTGAAGCTTGCCTTGGCTTGTGAGGTGGGCTCATTCTAGCGGCCTCAGGAGCGGCTATAACACCTTGCCCGGTTCCTTGGGGCTGAGCCATTGGCCCGAAGCCTTAAGCCTTAAGCCAGCAGCAGAACCCAAAGCTTCAGTTAGAAGCCACAATCGCACCCCCCACATACACAACGGTGCCGCCTCCAAGGTGTAGAACCGTGGCAGTTATGAGCTTCGAAGCCTTCAACTCCAAGTCCTAAGTGCCAGGCGATCCACGCCTGCGCCAAGACCCAAGACTGGCCCCGAGCACTGTTCCTCGCCTTGATTTCGTGGAGCTTTCGGGGCTCTGAAGATTCTTCCTGCTGCGTGTGAGGACTGGCTTTGAGGGTTCGAGTTCCTGTCTAACCTCTTACCCAGAAGACCACTACCAAACACCCGTACAGAGTCAGGGCTTTCGGGTTTCACAGCGCTTCGCTTTTGGGGCACTACTGCAATCGGCCTAACGAGCCTCCTGAGAGTCAAGTCGGACCAATCGCAGCATGCAAGCGGACAGGGAGGACACTTGCTGTTCTTGGGACATTAGTTGCCGGGGGCTATGCCATCCCAGCATGGAACAATGGAAGCAACCGGCATCATCTCAACGGTACGATCTCAACAATCCCGAAGAATCCAAGCCAGAAGCTTCTGCCTCGAACACGAGAGTCCGGACTGACTTCCGAACCCAAAGCCTGTGGCCGACTGAGTGATCAGCACTGACAATACAGACCGCTGCACAGTGGTGGCAATTTTTGGGAGTAGTTTCGTTTTAGGCAAGCAAGCTTTCATGAAGACCCAATGCACTGTGGCCAACACCTAAGTCCTGTTCTTCGAAATTCTGCCTTCTGAAATCTGAAATAGCTGCTGTTTGGGATTGTCGCTGTTTTCTGTGGGCTTGTCAGTATGTCCTAGCAGGAACATAGCTCCGAGTGCACACAAATCCGTGTATCTCTGTGCTGTCGTTGCAGTCGGAGCACAACACAAACTACATGCACGTAGTTGGCGGAGGTGTGAGAAACCATTGGAGGAGGACAGTGAGCTCGAAATGGAACTAAACCCCGAACTTGGCCATACACCCGTTGTAAACTTATCATGCTGTAAGGCTCGCAAACTTGCTTCGACCTTTCGAGCCTCTGAGCAAACGAAGGAGTCTTCTGGCGGAGGTGGCTGTGGCAGCTTGCCAGAGTCACTTTTGTGGGGGGTCGCCCACTGGGCCTTGCGATACAGAAGCTACCAACGTACTGTTATTGTCCCTAATATTTTTCACAAACCCTAGCATCAGAATTGCGAAAACATCCGCATTTTTGCTTACAGCCGTGACACCACAGTGCTTTAGCATGATGCCTGCGACGGCGTTTTTTTGACGTTTCTTTGGTGGTACATCCATGCTAGCGTGTAAGGTTCTTGGTTTGGGTTATCGGATTATCGATTATCGCATTAACCTTTATTTCTGAGGATCTCAAAGTCTGCTCGGTACTTATGTTGTTACCGCGCTCGCAAGACCCGGTTCAGGTGCCAACCAGAGCTATGAGTCGTGGGTTCATCAGATGAAAGAACTATGGAAGGACACGTCCCGGTGCCGAACCCTCACGAAACCGCAACACAACGCCCCTCAAGCCCCAACAACTCACTCGAGGGCTGCGAAATTTAGTTCTCGACACCAAGGAAGGGCTCCAAGCGACTGTAGTCACCTACAACACTGTCCTCCGAGCACCTTGGCATGATGAGCTCTTGCTTTTGAAGCAGGGGCGCAGCAGCGAACCCAAGCTTGACAGATCTGTGTTGTTGTATTTTGGGTTGTTATGATGATGCTGAAAGGGGCTGCGGTCGCTATGAGCTTAGATGACGGTAGTGAGTGGTCGAGTAGTATGTTTTGAAACGTGGTACAGCTGGCCACAGTGGGGTGCTCCTCACTTGCAATCTTTTGTTGATTGTTGCACTTACCGGTTTGTGGTGTGCTTATGGTCGGTGGTTCGTGGTGCTGCGCTTCCCGAGTACTGGCTTGATGTAGTTGCCCTGTGCTACCCCCCAGAGTTGAGGATCTCTGCTTGTGTTGAGCGAGTTGTGAGAGTCGAAGCTTGTTATGTGCCACGACTCCACAGGCCGCCCAGCCGATGCAACGCGAAGCGCCCAAACCCCAAGAGCTGAAGAACCAAAGCCTAAACGAAGGGTCCACAGGCTAAAGCCTCCTCAAACTTCCAAGGCGTGTGAGTGGCGCTGTGCCCAAGACCTACTCCGCTGCATAAGAGACGCCACCCTGCGCCGAGATACTATTAGAACCTCGGAAGCCTTGGGGCTCTATTTCATTGTGAACCTCAAAGGGGGCAGAGTGTGGAGCAGTCCGTTTGGCATCTGCCAGATGACTTCAGGACTTGCAACGCCATTGGGGATGCAGGCTTTTCGTGGCTTACTTGGCTTTTCTGCACTCGCTCGAAGCCTGCACACTGCGCAGCATGCCTCGAGCACCCCTCGGAACGCACCATAAACTTCGAACCCTCGGCCCATTTCCTGCGACAGTCAGCAAGCCCAGCATCCTATGTGGCCAGAAACTTGCAAAGCCCACGAATTACTCCGTTGCATTTGGTTTGAGTCTCAAGGCCTTGCTTCGTCGGTGAGCTCCGTTGCCTCTGCGACATGCTGGGCCGAGGTGTTGGGTGCTCAGGGCCGTTGGGCTTTGGGGCTTTTCTGGTGTCAGAAACGTTCGTGAGCATGCGATCTGAGGGTGCTTCCGAGCATTGCACTGGTTGAACAGCTGATCCACCCCAAGGGCTGTCAATTCCAAATAACAGATCGGCCCCTACCCCTCGAACCGAAATCCAAAACCCTGAACCTCTAGAAGCCCTTAGCTGCGAAATCACCAACTCGTGAAGCTTCGCGTGGAGGCGGCGAGGCTTCTGGCGGCGTCCGTTCTCACCGCCCTGCTTCCGAACCTCATTTGCCACTTGGCATTGGCACGTTTGGAGATGGCAGCACGACGCATGAACCCGTGGGGCATCCAGTGCGAGTAAAAG